CTTGTTTCATCAGTTCATAATAAATATGAAACAAAGTTTTCAAGGGAAACTCAATGTAAGAATAAGCCCCAATTATGGAAGGAAAATATTAAAAGTTCTATTGCTAAAAGACTATAAATAAAAATCAAGAATTCTGCATTTGACCTCAAATCCATAAGTCTATTGTTGAACAATTACATGGAAGACTTTCTGCTAGTTTAACAACATGATCCTCTATATTCTTATGCAGAAAATAAAAGGACCTCAATGGGACATACAGAACATTTATATATCAATTAATGTTATCAGTGAGTTAATTTTTATCACATTTATTTACAGAATGAGTTCGTTTTTATTTTTTCCAGCAGAAACCTGTGCAGGCTTATTTGAACATATCTTAGTGACAGAGCACACTTTGGATGCAGAGTGTTCTAACTTCAATCCCTAGTATCCCAACTAGGCCAGTGAAAACCTCTACCTAAATCCCAGGAGTGATGCTACTAACCAATCTTAATTGACATCTATCAACTGGTTGAGCTATATCAACCAATGAAATGACTTAGTATAAGGCAGCTTTCTAAATTCCAAGTACAGTAACTTCAAACAAATGAACTTATTTCCGAATAAACATGAATAGGATTACACTATTGTGTATGTTACACTGTAATTTTATTTATTCAATTTCTATAGCCATATATGGGAATGATCAATCTGCATGTATTTCAAATAGCATGAAGTTTTGTTTTCTTACATACATACATACATACTTATATTTAAATTGTAGTACCTAACTTTCAAAGAAAGGCAAACCAGTAAAGGGTTAAATAAAATGGGATAAATTTTGGGGCCTACAATCTAAACACTCAGAACTCCTACTAATGATACCTCTAATAAAAAGAAAAAACTGCTCAAACTGAGGTAGATTCCTATAATTCTACAACTGTAACCAAAGAATGGATAGCAACATAAATACATAAACATGCATACACATAATTATAACCATGTAGTTCATCACTGTTCTAGCTGGTTGTATTAATCAAAGTAAACACTGCTAAATCTAGAAAGGAGCCTTACCTCCCAATTAATATTTCCAAAGTTTTCCATGCCATTACACAAGATATCACCAATCAGTACTCCTGCTACACCTATATCTGCTGAAGGACAAATGTATTAACAGAATCATCTCTATGCTTTAACATTTATAGTCATAACACAAATTACTGGAAAGATTATGTAAATGACCCTCTTCCTAATTCTAGCAGCTGTATTTTCTACCACTATTAAAAAACATACTTAAATAATCACAATCTCTTTATAATTAAAACAATATTGTGAAATGACACAAAGAACCAATATCTATAGCACATTGGCCACACCTCCTGTATGGAAGCTATAAAACCGAAAGGTAATTTCTTCTATAGTCATCAAAATCATACTGCATTAGCAAATTCAAAAACTGAATATTACAAGTATACACTCTGATTCCGAAATATCTTTGAATGCGCAAACACTGTATTCCATAGTATATATTTAGAAGCACTTTCTTATGCAAAACCACCTTCTCAGCAGATAGGTTACTGAGGTAAAACAGCAGTTTTTCAAAATCTTATCTGAACATCGGATACCTCAATTTGTGGGTAATCAATCTCCTAAATAGATTTGTCAAAATCAAGCACGCAATCCTATGAAAAATAAGCAAATACTAGTTTTAATATTTACAATTTTTTGCTGCAAATACGATATCACCATTTATAATCCACTATTGAGTCTGCTTTTTAACCAAACATAATTCCACCAAAACAGTATTATGCAGATTTTCCACCCATAGTCAACTCTCCTTCATCCACTAAACTGACTCTGATTTGATATAGATCCAAGCACCGTACTTTCTACACTTTTTCCAGAAAACGAAGGCAGTGGAAGTATTCAGCTCTTTGTCGCTGTTAACTGATACACTTTAATATAAACAATTGCCATAATCCACATAACTATGCCAGATCATACAAGACCTGCTGCAAGGAGCATCCTGAAATCACCTTCAAGTTTCTGATGCAACAGCTGTATGGGCACGACTCATTTCCATTTCATCTCTACCTTGTAATGCTGGGCCTAGACTCAAGTCTGCCAGATTCTCGCTTCTGCACATAAGAAGCAAGGGAGGGAGAAGCCAGAAATCACAGCCATTTTTCTACAAAATATGGCACCTAATGGGGAAAGGGGCGGGAAATACAAGAAACAGCGACACCAGGCCTCCTGGGGATGGGGGTGCAGTAGTGAGAGGGACCACCACCACCACCACCAACCCCCCCAACAGGGACTGTCCCCGGCCTCATCCGGCCTCCACAAGCTCTGGGATACAAGTCAGATCTAAATCGAAGCCATCCTCCTGGTATCGCCTTTTGTTCCTGCTGACGATTTCTTTGATGATGGCGGTCATGTCTGGGAGCCGGGAGCCGCTCAGAAACAGCGCGGAGAGGCACGGCGGCGGCTGCAGGGTGCAGATGGCTCTAAGCCTCGGCGGGGGATGCTGCTCCCGAACGCCCCCCGCCGCCGGTACGGCCGGCGGCTGCTGACCAAGCGGCTGCCGGGCAAGGACGGCGCAGGGAGGCCGGCACCGTGGACAGGGCCTGCCCCCGATCGATCCAGCGGCGACTCCCGCGAAGGCCCCGCAGCAGCCGGGACGCAGACCGGGAGCGAGGAAGGTCCTCCTGCAGGCTCCGCCACTGGCGCGGCTCCCCTCGGCAAGCAAGACCTCGAGGGCGGCGGCGGCGGCGAAGAAACGCGGCCCCGGCTCCCTATCGCGCTCCCGCGGCTTTCGGAC